GCCCGTGTCTCTGTGATGGATGCATCTCTGCTGGCTGCAGAATAAACTCAAGTCACAGGGTTGTGGCCCCAATAACACAGTACTTCATAAAGCTGCTTAGGTCTCTCTCTCTGTTCTCAGATATTTATAAGGAACCCATCCCCACAATATATCTAATCACCTCACAGTCTATCAGATATTTCTTCCTGTAACTGTGCACTTATCCATGCTCAATAGATAGGAACTATGCCTGCACGGCTTTTCAAACTCATGAGGTGCTGCAGCATGTTCACAGGAGGACAGCAATGCTTTCACAGAACAAATAAGCGAAGCCACAAGTGGCTGGGGCAGGCTCAGAAAAATGCCTGCAAACTAGCACCTGGCATAAGAAAACTAGGGCTGATATGTCCTGGGTGAACAGACAGACTAAAGGGCATCTCCAATTTTCAGTAATACATTCGGGCAAATCAGTACCCCAGTTCCCAGGTTTGCAGAATGGGACCCACCAAATGGACCCCATGAATCCCTCTTGGATCACATCTCTAATGGCCATTGTTCCAGCTCTCCTGTATTCTCCAGACTAACACAGCATGACTTGGAGTTCAGCTTCATTCAGTGTCAAACTGAGATCTATGATTACATGCTGTCTCTGGCTCTGCAAAAAGCAGGACTCCATCTGTTCCCTGCTGCAATTACTGCACTGCGTGGATAGTCAAGATCTTGCATGAGGCGCACAACTCCTCAGAGCTCCGCATGTTTGACCGAGGCATGTAGGACACGGGATTTCATCCAAACAGAATCTATTGATGAGGGCAGACATCATCTCTGGCTACAGAATCCCTTCTTGGCTCAACCCTGTATTTCACCAATGCTACTTCTGTCTCAGGGTAGGTTGTTTTGATTAATTTCATTTAATTATTTCCATAATCTCAAGCTGTTCCCAGAATCTGTGTGGAGCTCATCAAGGTGGAAGCAGAGAATATGATGCACACAAATGAAAGATACACTCCACTGGTTTCTCTATATATATCTTCCAAGAGGGAAAAAACACTCCACATTACAGGAACATCTTTCAGCCTGCAGAAGCCTAACAGTGCTATCTGTCACTCTTCTGTTACCCGGTGGCACTTAATTCTGCTGTTGTCCCCACAAGGGGCAGACATTTCTGCACTGGAATTCAGCACCTGGTCATCATTAGAGAACTGACATTTCATCCCTGCTTATAGGAAAGGAAGGGGAATATATGAGTTGGTCATATAGGAGAGAGATGAGAGAAAAGCAAAGCCCTTGTTGACACAGGCATCTCTAAAGACAGGGTATTTGTCCAGTTTCAGCTCAGCATGTCTTAGTGGCCGTTCATCAGCTATTCCCAAGCTCTTCATCATCCTGCTCAGATCCAGCTCACAGCATCTCTGTTTGCTTTCTCTCTCCTGATCACACAGCCCTTCCTTCTTCCAGAAGGTCAACGCACATCTCTATTTCAGTCCTGGTGACATTTTCAGCCAATTCCTTTGTCATGGGTATCCTGTCCCAGTGACCAGCTGCATTTAACACAGCAAGGCTGGGATGGGAGAGGAGTGAAGACACTGGACTAGGCACCTGATAGGTTAGAAAAATCTGTTCTCAGAAGTTTCATGGGGTTCCCTCCAGTTCCACAATTCACAAGGCACTGCCTGACAAGATGGAAAAGGAGATGCCGGGGGAATGGAGGAATGCTCTCCATAGTATAGTCAAAGATAAGAGCCCAGGCCCCCTAACTCAGCACCAGCACAGCTACTTATTTGCTGTAAAGAATGGGCCAGATATTGTCTCACTCTTCACATCCTTAAAGTTAGGTGTCGGCCTCAGCTTCCTCTCACACTTGTCAGAGGACTGATTCATTTGTGCCTAGAGAGCACAATGAATCTTGCAGATGGAGAAAGCAAAAAGAGGTAGGAAGATCGTAAATCAGGAGTGCCCAGGAACATTCTCCTAGACGCACCCTGAAAACTAACACTGAATGGCTCACATCCATATTATTAAATCCCTTCACCTCTGAAACAGTGACCTCATACAAAAGCCTACTGGGAATGGTGCTTTGCCTGTGATAACATCCAAATCATGCCTGAATGCTGTTTCGGACAGTCCTAGGGGGAGTAAGCCAAATCATGCTGAGGGTGTGCAGACACTTAACACAGATGATTGAGTTTGTATTCTGGGAACATTGCTTGACGTTATTTGATTTACTAGTAAAGTCTTAATTAGTAGTGAAGACTTAATGTCTGTTCTATTAAATTACCCTCAAAGTCAGCACTGCCCTGATAAAAATCAAGCATCCCTAAACTTTCATGAAAATATTGCTTCTTCAGCTCTCAGTCATTACTTTTCCATCTTCTGAATGAATGTGGAACAAATTATTAAATAACCAAGGGATTAAAAAAAAAAGGCAGCTGAGTGAAAACCAAGAACAAACCATGTCAAACTAGTTAACTTTCTTTGTTGCAGTAGCTGGAATAGTGGATATAGCAGAAGCAGCACTGAAAGCTACTTTCATGCATAGTAAGGCTTTCTGAAACAATCCAGTATGATATTTGTTATGGGTATGAACTCTGAAAGCAGTTACCAGTATTTTACAGTTAGAACAAGAGGACTTACTGAGATCAGTTCTGGAGATGCCACACCAGAACAATTGAGTATTTTCTTCAATAACTCAGATAATGAAATACAGAGGTGTACCAATCCCATGTCTGGAAGAGCTTGCAAGATTCAGCATTGCAAACCAAAAGATCTTGAAAAACTGGAGAAACATCTCACAGTCAGGCAGCTAAAATTCTGTAAGAGTGGTATAAAACACTGCATTGAGATGTATGAAAATTAAATGCACCAGTAAAAAAAAAAGAAGGGGAGAAGAGGTGAATAGATCACAGCACTGAGAAAAAGGATCAAGGAGTTACAGAGATCAAGAACTGAACACCATCACTGTGAAGATGTTGCATAAGCAGGCAAATTTCATTCTTGGGTATATTAGTAAGGCATACTTTATAAAAAACAAGGGAGTAATCTTTTTTAATTTTTTTTTTTTACCTTTTCAATACCAGCAAGGTCTCAGAGAGGCTTAGTGCAGATCGGGAGACGAAGAAGGTAACAAACACTGATGAATTGTTCCTCGTCTCCTGAAAACAGGTCGAGATGCAACAAGCTCAATTATGTTGTAAACAGGAGGGAAGCCTTCCTGGCCAAATAGCAGTAGAATGGTTATCAAAACAGTGGTAGCATCTCTGGTGTGTAGTAAGGGAAGGTAAAACAAGCATTCACTTGGGGGGCATCAATACATCTGATCCTACCTCTTCGTGCATAGATGGAATGCCCAGTGAATGTTCCTTTCAAAAGCTGACTGAAAACTATTTCATTCTTTTACTTCTCTTGCAGCAAGCATGCTCCATAATCTGATTGCACTCACAGCCAGAAACTTCTGATTTCCAGTTTAAATATGCATGTGGCTTGTCAGCAGCCACTTGATACAGAATCATTCAAATTCACACTCATATGTGTATATGAAAAGGAAAGGAAGGGAAAGGGAAAGGGAAAGGGAAAGGGAAAGGGAAAGGGAAAGGGAAAGGGAAAGGGAAAGGGAAAGATTATTGCATGTGAAAAGCTTCCAGAACTGTTTGTTAGGTTTCAAGAAGGAAAATATTAAAAAATTGCTGAGGAAGTTTCTTTCTTTCTTGTGTTAATGTGTAGATGACCTGAATGATATTAAAAAGGAAATGAAGATGTAACACGGGAAAAGGCTGAAGAGGGAGTGCCTGCTCGGGGCAGAACAAGGAGATCCAACACCATGAGAGTGGCATAATGAAATTATCAGCCTGATGGATTCAGAAGGACCAGGAGGAACAAGACATGAATGAAATCTACAGTTTGTTCACGAAGAAGGAACCGCTTTCTCCCTTCTATCTTCCCTAAAGATGTGACAACATATCTTTTGTGGTCACACTCATCTGCACGCAAAATGGGATGTGTGTATTTGTGGAGAAGCGTGCATGTGAGAATTGACAGACCTCCTGTGAATCAATAGTCACCTTTGTAAAGGAGAAAATGCTTTCTGTTGAACTGATGGGTATTTCATCCCATTGCAAACCATAACAGATGAGTTTTCTTCAAGCCTCTATGCATTTTAAGATTGTATTTACACTCACTAAGCAACTATTCTGTCTAAGAGGAGAAAAAATGACAGACTCCTGCTTCTTCATTTTTTCCCTGCCCCAGTGCTTCTCTTTTCCTAGGGCTGCTCGCCTAGTCCTGCTCAGGTTCTTTACTTCCTTCTGACTTTCTTCTGTGTCTCTCCTGAAGGTGGAAGTTCAGGCTCCTTTGGGCTCACAACACTGCCAAGCACCTGAGTGGGAAGCTGAGAAAAGCACAGATGCTCTTACATTAGTTTCTACAGAGAGAAAATTAGACTGTTACTGACACATGCCCAGCTAGAGCTGAATGTGCAACATGAGTGCTCAAAGAAAGACCACTGATGGCTCATATCAGTGGAAAACCGTCTTATCAGTCCAGACTTGCCCTCCGACAAGCCCAGAGGCTGTGTCCAGCCACACAGGACATCGGTGACTACTGCCAAAGCCCTGCCATGAGGGACTAGGCGTCTCTGAGGGGTGGGGGGGAGGACCAGGCCCAGCACAAGAAACTCCATCACAGCTTCACTGCTTGCTGGTCCTTCCCCACTCACACCTCACAGGACTAGCTCTGGGGAACTGCCGGGACTGTTGTGGGCCACCCTGCTGTACGTCCTCCGCTGTTTTCCCCGTCCTCACGTACACCCAAAGAGCGGAAAATCCAATTTAGTGGGACACCACCACAGCCCCCAGGCGCGGCCATCTCTGAACTAACGGGCCATGAGGCGGCTAAGCAACGCCCTCACAAAGATGGCGGCCGCCTCACAGCGCGGCCGCCTCACCAAGATGGCGCCGGCCGCGTGGACGTGGCCGCGCTCGAGCGGGGGAGCGTGGCGGCGCTCTGCGCATGCGCGTCTGCGGACGGGCCCGGGACCATGGGCAAGAAGCGAGAGGGGCTGAGCGTGGCCTGGGAGGTGAGGGCGGGCGGCGGCGCGGGGCGGCTGGGCCCGGGCAGTGCTGGGCGGTGTGTGCCTGCAGGGCGGTGTGTGCCTGCAGGGCTCGTCTCTGCTGTACCCGCGGGGTGTAGGTACGGGGTGGAAAATAAAATCCCTTCAAATCAGAGAAAGCGAAGCTTGTGTTTCATTACTGACATCATAATTTCAGCTTTCCGTCCGGTGTTACCTCCTGAGCTGCTGCGGTCGATAGAGCTTTCTGAGCGAGTCTGCAGGGGATGTGATCCCGTCTGAGCGCTGCCCTGCAGGGCTGCTGGGCTGATGAGGGCGGGCTCGCGAACTGCACAGACTCGAGGCTGAATGAAGGAGGAGACCCAGGGTAGCTTTTAGTGGGATCCAGCCCTTTCTCCTCTCCCAGCACAGGAAGCTGATCTGCTGGATCTATTTTAGACTGTAGTGCGTTTCCTGGTATGTACTTTTTAGCCTGCTGTGGGTACAGCGTTTGTTTTGCCATGAAATGAATTGCGCTAAAAGTGCGGTGGGAATGGGTGTACGTCCATGAACCACGAGTTAGCATTGAAATGTAAACGGTTCAAAAAAGTAATCTCTGCTGGACCTGCTTTCATAACATAACCTAATTTGTAGCTGTAAGAACCACTAATTCCTCTGTGAAAGGAGCTGCTCGAGTGTGCTGGCAGGTGACAAGGCGTAAGCAGGCTGCTCGGGGAAGGTCTTTCTTCCTTGCCCCCACCTCTTCGTTTGCCTTTGATCTGTTTTATGAGGGTCAGAAGACGAAAACCTCATTACCAAACACTGCTGGATGTCAACGTATGTGTGATATGGCTCTTTGCCAGTGTCTTAATTAGGGAATTCATAAAAGCAGAGGGTGGATGCCAGTTCTTGAGAAGTGCTTTTAGCCTTTCTGCTGGAAAGAAAGCTTTTATTAATTCATTACAAATAGTATGAAAAGGGATCTAGCTCAACTCTGTAAGCAAAGCTGCTACCCTCTCTATTCTCGTCTGCCTTTATACAAGACGTTTTGGGCTCCCTGCCCAACGTGGTTCTGACAAATGAGATTTGTAATAAGGGTGTAAGTCAGTTTGGATTGAAGTGCAGTCTGGGTTCCTCTGTTTTAAGGTCTCCACATTACAAGTAAGCATTGCCACAATTCAGTGAATTCAGAGGCTCTGAGCCTCGTCATATCTTTTGTACTGAGGGAGGCAGCAGGCCTGAGATGGTTGTATACATGTGAAGCTGCTGGGACTTGACTTTCCATGGGGAGAGGAAGGGCAGCTCTGTGTCTCACCTTATTTTGCAAGCAGGGAAACTGAGGCACTGTGAATACATGACATCTTAGGATCCTCACTTGCAACCTTCCTTCCAACCCCTAATGCCCCAGACCAGCCTGAAGAAAAGAAACAGCAGGATTTCAGAGGAAAAAAAAAAAAATTTGTTCATTCAGCAATCTATTCCTCCTTCTTTGTCTTTCTTTCATTGTTATTATTTTCTGTCCCTTGTGTCCCTAGCTCAGCAAAGCTGATGGTGCAGTTCAATGGCAAGTGGTTTATTAGCAAATTATTGTTCTCCAGCAGGGGAGCCAAACTTTGGGTTTGATTTAAGAGCAATAAAAACAGTTGCATCTTTTAAAGCACTGTGTGGAATCTGGAGATTTTTAGTCAGCAGAAAGTAAGAGCGCTGACAGAATTGGGCAGAATATCCTTTTGTTATGTCTCATGAAATGATGAACCAATGGACAGATAGTGTTCTATTGAGAGTGACTGCAGACTGAGCAGGAAGAATAGGTTTGGTGGAGAGGATGGAGAAGACAGTGGCATGGATAATTTAACAGTGGGGCTAGTAGCTTGCTAACCAAAGCTCTTGTTAAATTGTATTAACATGATTTTTAAGCACTGGTTTCAGAGAAGGCATGGTGTACTGTAATATGTTTACTGTCTAAGCTGCATCCAGGTGACATAATGCAGAACCTCTTGCTGGATGTTTATGAGGGTTTCCAGCAGAAGCACCTTTTCCTTCTGAATGGAGATAGAATCATTCTAGCTGGGAGATGAAATGACAGTGACTGATGTGTTTTCCAGATTGATGAACTGGAGGAAAAGCTGTCACTTTGCAGACAGAGCATGGAGGAAGTAGATCTCAAACTGCGCAGGGAGAAGCTCAGCCATGAAGGAAGGTATGAATGACCACTTCCATTCACAGCTGTGGCTGCACACTTCAGTTAGCTTTCATCCTGCTGTGGCGCTGAGCAAGAATGGGAATGTATGCTTCCCCTTTACAAGACTGTCTCCTCCCATCTTGGAGAACTTGCCAATGTGAGAAATTCAGTGATACATGGAGAGTGCTTTATCTTACAGCTTCCCTCTGAAACCTGCATTGCACTCAGCCAAGCAGTGCCCAAAACTTACCTGTTCATTAGCAAAGCAGGGTCCTGTCCTGCTGGGAAACATTTGTGTATGAAAGGCAGAACTCACTGCACATTGCTACTCAAGCCTAACTGAAGATGCCTGAGTTCAGCTGTGGGAGATGTGCAGCAACTACTGATGGCCCCAACCAGTTGTGGTGCAACTGGAAAAGGGGCTGAGGGAAATTACTCTAGTTGTGCCAGTGTTGCAAATATGTCTGGATATAGGGATGCAGTGACACACTGACTTTTCTTGGGAAAGGGTAGAAGGACAAGTGCTGTGAAATCTGTTACTGACGTAAAAGAGGCAGCTGTAGGCTTTTAAAACAGGAACTCAGGAGAAGACTTTCACCTGGATTTTATAGTAGGCAGAGCCTGATCTTTCTCCAGTGTTAAGCAAGAGATGGTAGATCTTCCACGTGATTCTCAGATTTGTGTGTCTGTGAACGTTTTTCCAGCACCCTATTGCTCTGCTCCTGTCAGAAAGGCTGGTAAGTTCAATTGCAGGCCAAAGAAGGGAAATTTCCTGTCGTCTGTTTAGTTGTATGGAGCCCAGTTACAAATTATCCTTGCAGTGACAGCGTTTTCACACCCTGATATTTTCCACCCTCAGCTTGTATTCTTTGTTCTTCCTTTCTACTCAGTTGCCTTGCTCTGCACATTCATTAAGCCAGACTGTTTTTTTTCCCCTTCTTTATTGGAGTGTCATATCCTTCATTTGTATTTTGACAGGGTCCTGTGTCACCCTTTCACTCATCTGTAGCTCCCCATTTCACCAGTCTGTTATCTAGGCCTATATATATATTTTTTTTTAATGCTTATTGTCTGCAATCATCTGCTACTGAAGTGGCCAACAAACCAACCTATAGTTGTGGTAAATTGACAAGATGGGATATATCTGTATGAGTTCTCCTTGAAACATAAGAGCAAAGAATTAAGATAAGGGAATTCTGGGGCCTTTTCTGAATTGTACAACTTGTATGGAGTTGGAAGTGGAAATTCTGTTGCCCTAATCCAGACCATTCACAAACCATGTCAGAAGGTACCACGATCAAAATTCCTGACGCAGCACGTAGTTTGTGAAGGAGAGCTCTGCTTTCCCACTTTGAAGTTCAGTTACCCATGTTTTCTTCCTGTCTCATTCTCAAATCAGCTTTCTTGACTCTGTTTACAAAGAAAGTTTCTAAGCAGCAGCTCAGCCTTGTTGGCAAATGTCTTCTCACTTCTTCCTGGGTGCACTCTGCATTTCCTTTCCTGACTGCATGTAAAAGCACTTTATTCTCCAGATGCTGATGAAGCCTGCTTTCTTGCTGTCTCTCACTTAAGAAGATGTACACAGGTATGGAATCTGTTTCTACAACAGCTTCTTGCTCTGCTCCAAGGGGAACAACAGACTATTATGCTTACTGCCTTTTCTGTCTTCTCTGAACCAGGAGATGATTTGTTGGTGCATGTTTGTTTATATGCACACAATCTGAAAGGAGTGGCCACGTCCTCACTGCTATAATGGGAATGCTGCTGCTCCTAGGCAATTTGTTTTGCTTTTATGTTTTAAACTGTGTATTAATTAATCATATTGTGCAAGAGCTGGTAGGCCTGAATTGCTTTTTATTAGTAGTACCCTGGGACTTCAGTCTACAACAGGTTGTTCAGCTGGTTGTTATGGGCTTGGATTCAGCTTGTTTCTGGGTTGACCAAGTTGTATAAATTGGATACACTGACAAAGGGATCCCAGCTTCAATCAGTGAAAAGAATTGGCATTCCAGCACTGAGATGTACCAGAGGGCCGGATTCCATAGAGAGCATGTGTGGATGCTGCCCCATCTTGAAGCCATGGCAGAACTTATCCTACCTGGAGGAACAGGGAGAACACACTGTTGGACAAACATTCCTGTCCTGCTGACCTGTAATGACACTGTCCTGAAAGAGACACAAAAATATCTTGAAAAAAGTAAAAAGTCTTCTAAAACTGTCTTATCTCTTCTCTTGCTCAGTTGGGAGATTCTAAATTGTCACCTATCCCCAGTGAAGGCAGTGATAAGCTCATTCTTTTAGTAAATATTCCTGCTAGTGGGACAGTCTCTCTTCCATCATATAAGCAAAGAAATAGGCTGTGTTGTGCCTCACGGGTAATGAACTTTTCTTCTCATTACAGAAAGTTACTGGAGAGAGAGAGAAACCTACTAATGACCAAAGCTGACAACTATGGTAAGAGCTTCATTAAAAATGGTCCCTCTGGGCTGAATGGCATCAGTGCTGCAGCTTAGCTTCATCTTCAAGCTCCTGCTCTCTCTTAACTTCTGCCTTTGAATTTAGGCTCAACCAAAGGGAGCAAGACCGGGGGAAATCTTGTTAGCCTATTTTGCATCTAGATCCTCCCACTTGAGCCATGCTATCATAAGGGAGAAAAAAAATAGGTATCAGCTGATGAAGGAGGTAAAAAAATCCCTTTCACATACCCCAAGCTACCAATATTTATAAAGTCTTAGCTGACAGATTGACTCGAGAGGCTTTTAACAACTTCTACCCTTTCTTTAAAAAAAAAATTTAAAAAATAGAGGCTTGCTGAGCAATCTTTTATATGCTGACTGGAGTACAGCCAGGTGTACTTTCCTTGGGGAAGCTTCTCCCAACTTTGGTCTCTGGGGGCTATGCTATGCATTAGCATAAAAGTTCACGTTGAATTGCTGCCTAGAATATCAGAGCACCAGGGTCGTTCCCTACTACAGACAGTTAAAACAAGAGTCCCTCTGAGCTCCTGCATGTTTGACAGTATTTTCCTGCTGTTGGGGATGCTGCCTCGCATGTTGTCATGCTCCTGTTGTTTACAGCCCAGATTTCCTAAGTGAGTATCAGAGCAAAACTGCAGTTGCCCAGCACCCTACTGTGTGCACTTGGAGTGAAGGACACCATTGGACCCTCTTCCCCGGGTACTCAGCCCACAGCACATATGTTTATAAGGGAAGATGAGGGTTCTGCCTCTTCACAGGATAGGAACTGGAAAACTTAGGCTCCATCTAGGCTGCTCAAGGGCAGAAGCTAGGTGAAGGGGATCTGGTTGGTATCAGCATCTGTGAAGGAGCCCAAAATAGACCAGATACAGCAAAATGTGTACTTCCACAATGGTCAGAACCCATCTATGTTGAGGCTGCTCTGACAGGGAAGTACATTCATGTGTTAAGCTAGAGGAAATTTAATCGCCTCCTGGCTCGGCTCACCGCACAGATCCACTCTGCAGTGGTGCAAACACCAAAGCTCACCCAAGGGAGGGAAGCACAAGTGTTCTTTAAGGCTCAGAGAGTTGAAAGTCAAGGTATGGCCACTGAATTTGAATTTAAAATTTTAATTGATGTTAAAGGACTGCTTCCAGAAGAACAATTATTTTAAACACATTCAAACCTGTTCCCTAAGGGCCTAACACTAGAGAAGAGAGGGGCTGTGGCTGCAGCCTGCATACCAGCAGTCGACCATCACTGCAGCCATCAACAGAGCAATCGAACAGGTTGCTCAGACAGCTGCAACAGCCTCACCTAATGGTGATGGCTGCCCCTCCTGGAACAGAATAGACAGTGCCTCTGCACACAGTCTTTTTAGGTCATCACTCTGGCCTCTAATTAAATCCATGCTTGTTCCAGCTGACATACTTGAGGCTATGATTACAGCGGCTGGGTGAGTGTACAAACGTGTATCAGGCAAAGAACAGGGGCAGAAAGAACAGCTAAAAGCCTCTTTTGATAGCAGTGCTAGTTTGTTGTATTTTAAGTTAGTTAAAGCACTGAGAAAAGACTGGTTTGAGAATTCTGAAATTACATCTAGAAGAGGGTAAAAATAACACTCTGCCCTCTCTGTCCTGTTCTTCCTTCCCTAAAGGAGCAAACAGTTGTTCTAAAGAACAAGCCTATCCTTAGTACAGTCCTAGAACAAGGTCATTTGCAAATAGGAACTGGATGGGACTAAAGCAATCCTAAACACAGCTACTGAGATTGACAGGATGTATTAGCAAATGAAAGTTCCTGCTCACCTCCTTCCTGCCCAGGATATTTTATAATTAGCAGACTCAAGAGCTGTCCCTTGGCTAAGGTAGCATTGTGCTTGTAGTACAATTTTTAAAGGAGATGCAGCAGCAAAACATAAAACAGCATTCACAGACAAGGGTTTTGTTTTGGGGTTGTTTTTTTTCTTTTACAGAGAAAGAACTGAGTGTGCTTCGTAAAGAAAATCGCAAGAATGCTGCCCTTGCTGTGGCCATGGTGTTGTTGATTGCTCTTATTTACACCTGCTGGACAATGTGATTGCACTCAAGAATTCTCCCTGCTGACCAAATGATTCTATTGCGAGGAGCTCTTCCTTCTCACCACTGCACCTTTCCTGAGGGTGAGGATCAGCATTTCAGACTGCTGTTCTTGTTTATTTTCTCAAAGCCTCACCTTAGGGAAGCTAAAATTTTCTCAGAGAACTGAGGAAGCAAACTAGAAATCACATCGCACTCACATTGGGAAAACAAGTTGAGCAGAACTCAAGCTGGAACTCTTACCCAACTTGCAGTCAAGACCCTCAGGCCTGATGTAGGAATATAGAATGTTCTCCCTTTTGAAGAGGATCTCTCTGGTTGCAGACAAGTGCTCTCTGCCCAAGCTAGTCAGAACACATGCCACCTCCTTGGTTGTTGTGTCTCAACCCTAAATTGAAGGGACACCAAGCTCTTTGAATCAGAGTAACCTTGTGTATTGTGACATGGACACCACGTGTCTCCAGAGCTGAGATAAACAAAGATGGTTCTTCTTACATTTCAACATAAGAGAACCAAAACCACCCTACCTCTATAAAAACAAATGGGAGGTAGGTGTCTTTTATGCAGGCACATAGCAGCCAACTTGAGATCTTCAGACTTGGACTTTGAAAATATCTATATACCTCTCTTGTGCGTCGGAGTTTGCTAACTATTTTGTGCCTCAGTCAACATATGCAGAAAAGATTTTATTGTCAACTCCCAGGGATGGAAGTGCCTTTGTAGGACTTTAAATAAAGTCATTTGACATTGTAGCTTTCAGCTTTTCCTTCCCCTTTTTGTTACACCTCCAGTTTTGCAGCAGGCCTCCTCTCAGGCCCCTGATTAAGATCCTATTATCCTGCAGTCTCCTCTCTTTCTGTTCCAGTAACATACCTCAGGTAGCCCTGAGGGAGCACTTGTCAGGAAAGCTCTAGGGCACTACCTTCAAAATTTTAAACTCTGCAGGGTGTTTCCTGTTGCCACGCTAATACAGGCTGCTAGCCCAAATTTTGTGGGAAATAAAGTAAACAAGCAGTGAGGTGAACTAAAGGGGCTGTATTGGTAATAGAGACAACAAAAGCAGAGAAATCAACACAAAATGATACACAGCCTAATAACAATACATTGTGCAATTCACATACATAAACATTCCCTTCAGCAAGATGTTCTTCAGCTTCCATTGCCAACATAATCCCTCTGTATTTACCCTGCACCAAGGAAGCAAGTAGCATGTTGCCTTACGTTTACCTTCTTGAATTGGGATTCAGAATCAAGGTTCAGTGCATTAAAAATAAAAATAAAAGCAAATTAAAAGTGGGAGGAACTGGAGGCAACAGGGCAAATAGGAAATACCTGCAAAAGCCAGCCTGCAGCTCATCAGCTTTCTTTTGCACCCTCAGAAGCCTACAAGCTCTACAGTAGACTTCCTAGTCACCCTTCTGCCTGCTGGCCCAGAGAAGAGACAGAAACCCTGAGTGGAGGACATAATACTTACCAACGCAGCCTGGCAAAGGGAGTGGCATGCTTTGCTGGCATTACAACAGCCTCAAGGCAGTCTGCAAGTGCCAGAACTCAAATTACTCACTTATAAAGCCAACTGCTCACAGGCCTGGAAACCACACAGTTGGAGGTGCATTTTTGCCCACTAGGAGAGAGTCCTCTTCAACCCCTGTGGAAGTGCTTTTGCCAGCAAAAATTACCAGTTACAGAGCTCTTGTTCTTGGGGGGGGAAGGAAGCCTGCCATTTCTCTCATATATGTATTAGCTATACTTGAAAATAGAGGGCGGATCGTCATCCACAGGATGCAGTAACAACATGCAGTTCATCAACTGTTCCAGTAGACCTGTATCTAGGCATTAATGATCACAAACATGGGAAAAGGTCCTTTTATCCACTTCCATCACTTTAGGTTGGAGCTTGAGAGAAGAGAATAGCTCCCTTGCACAGTATTCAGGGCAATCTATTACCAACCCAGCCTCCTATCCACTCCCCGAGTATTGCTTCCACTTTTCATTCACCAACAGACCGTGCCAGCTTCTGGGCTGCTCCCCTAGCCAGGAGGTGTGGTTCTGCAGTGACTGAGCCTGCATCTAAACTTGTCTGGTGCAAGGACTTGTATCTGTTATTTATACCAAACTGATAAAAAGAAAAGAAAAAAAAACAAAACAGAAGCCATGGTTTTATGGAGATGATGCATTTCTAAAGACATGGAAATGCTTTAAGCTCAGAGAGCACAGCCACCTAGCAGGATGACGTTAACTACGTGCTGATGCTGAGGACAAAACTCATGCAGGATGCTGGACCTTAGAGGGTGGATGAAAACAGGACTTCTACAACACGCGCACCTTGTTATGGCCTCTTTGGGAGTGATGCAGGACACCCATCCTATCTATAGAACCGTGAGTGAAAATTTCCATGTCTTACTACATAAAGCTCGTTAAAATACTACATACAGATTTGGGGAGAAAAATAAGAATCTAAGGAACTGCTATAGTTCCAAGGAGACCTATAGCTTTCTTTAAGGCACAGTTCAGACTATCCCTAAATCAGTTTCCTCCCTATTGTCAATCTATGTTTAAAAACAAACAAACAAAAAAAGCAATTTGCTGCTTGGCTGAAAGCAGTCAACTGTGTGTTAGCTTCTGATTTAAGTGGAAGACCTGGCCAAAAGCCCCACGGAAGCCAGAACCGAAGGTACATCATGCAACAGAAGAATACTTTTGAGCTCAGCACAAAATAACGTTGAGAAGTCTGTTGAAATAAGTTTCATGCTGAGTGTCACAGCACTGTCTTCACCCTCTTCACCCCAGTGTAGCTCCAGGGCCAGATGAGACATGGAGAGTGTCAAAGCTCACTCTGACATTTAAAAAGGAAAGTCTGATAACCTTTCCAGTGGGCACAGTCAGGGGAGAGGATTTCTTCTAATTAACCAACATGGTCAAAGTCAAGATCTCTCTTCACTGAAGCCTTGGGTCTTTTAACAAAAATCAAACGTACCCATAATTTCCTCTAAACACTTCTAGCATCCCCAATTTCCTATGTCTTCACTCTCACATCCGCTTTCCTTCTGGAAGATTTGAGTAATGGCGTAAAGTACTAAGAACCAAAGCACCTTGGTCTCAGAATTACCATGAGGCATAAACACTTTCATGAATTAACTGCAGGCTGCTGGTTCAGGATCAGTCACTGACCTGCAAAGGAGGAATCCTTGAAACAGCAGCTTGTAGACATCTGTGAAAATCCTGGCACTGAAACATCAAATTTATGCCAGGAAGTCTACTCATCACCTGTGTTGGCTTCTGTCCGACAGGATACCATCGCATAGGAATTGCCATTGGCAAGCCAAGTGCCTTGAAAGCTGATGTGTTGGAAACACTAAAAAGAGTTCATGTTTGCACCCCAATGCTAGCATTCCCCAGTGAATTAATAGCCTCCACTAGGCAGCGAAGGCCTTTAAGTAAAGGCCAAGGAGACATACAGCTGCCAGGTATGATGCAGGGTTGCATCGATGTGCTATTGCCCAGCACTGCCACTTTCATCTGCTCCTTCCCACTGCTAAGGAAGCACAAGCCTGGAGAGTCCTACACACAGAGCTCCACAAACCTTGCTGAATATTTTAACAGGAGCAAAGAAAGCTTCTAGCCCCTTGGCCTTATGCATGCAGTAGGTCAGGACAAAAGGGCATTAGGCCTTCACTCCAGGAGCCACCATAAGTATTCCAGCAGCAGGCACTACCTGGGTCATACTCTTATATACACTGCCAAGTTCAGAATCTTGTCCTGTGTCTTCTGCATGTCATTTCCAAGTTAGATCACCTCCAAGGAATCAGCTCTGGAAAAGGCTAGGACAGTTGTGGAGTCTCCCAGTGTTGTCAGTCCCTGAAGAATCCGAGCTGGGCTCAGCCTCTTCCCAGCATCCTTCAAGAGAGCTGGGGCTAGGGGTAGTGTGCTTGGATGAAAGATAGGACATTCTCCTTTGATAGCTTCTCTGGATCTTGCCTTTTCTGAGAGTCATGCACTTTGACACCATCACCCCACTCCCAGAAGAGACGGCTGTAATGACATACACTGTGGACAGAGAGGAAAGTGAGATTAATATGGTAAGAGAGTGGAAGAACACTCATCATAGCCTGAGAGTGCAATACAGAGAGCTTCTCTTACACTGGGAGTCACACAAAGGTGCTGTAGATCTAAAGAGTGCCTTAGAAAAAGACCAATGCTTTCGTTCATTCACCTTACAAACTCTATGGCCCATAAAGTACAGAAATTTCCAAGCCTAAGATATTTCCATGGAAACAAACTTATTAATTTCTAGCTTCACTCAAGATTCAGTTCCAGTATTTGCTGGAAGGAGACAGATCATTAGGGAAAACATACTTTCCCCCCACAAGTTTTTCAGAAAATATCAATGCAGGCAATAGAAAGGCCTTAATAAAGAATTTAGAAAGTCTGCCAGCAGCAGCAATCTAATCACTCACCACAAACCTACTAGAATCAGTAATAGCTGTCCTACGGATCTTTGCAAATGAACAGCTCTTTGTGCTGTACGAAAACAACTAGGATCATTCCTCCTCCTGCATGAAATAACCAAGCTCCATCAGCAGCTGAGAGTTCTGATCCTACAATGCCATCTCTCACTCCACCCATCAAACACAGCCCTCCCTCACTGCACTGACACAGTCCCAGCCATAATGAAAACAGAGCTGCTAATTACTGCTGACACAGCAGCCTTGAGTTTTGTACAATTACTGACAAAATATTCATAGCTTATTTAGTGCTACTGTTCTAACAAAGCGATACCAACACAGTGACAAGAGCACATGTCAATGGCTAATTACAGACACATTAGTATTCACTAACCACAATATAGCACAACTCTTCCTACGCAGGCACTCCAAGTCCTCAGCCATTCCTACAGGTTAATACTAGCCTATTTTTGAGTGCACAGGCCAAACAACTCCACCTTGAGGCATGAAAGGAAAAAGCACCACCTGCCTCTGCTTTTGCAGTTTTAAGCCCTTTCTTCTATTTAGCTGGTTAAGGGAAACTTAAGAACCCTATTTTCAGAGGCAAAGTCCTTGGTAGTGGCAGGCATCTCCTGAGACCACCTCAAAGCAAAGAATGAGGAACATCTCCACCTATGAGCCCTGATATGCTAGACAGACTCAAAATTTGCTGTACTCAAGAAACTGTCTTAGCATAGTACTCAATTGGATACCAATGGTATTCAGCAGCCACAGTGCTGACTGCCCAGTGACAACTCTTTCCCAAGGAGACACTGCTTTTCTCCCTCATTAAACAACTCCCAGTAACCTACAACTTATACCTGAGTTTGGCTAAATCAACCGAGGCTGACTTTTCAATTAACAACTTCCAACCAACTATCATAACATACAGAAATGTAACAGATTACAGTTACTGGACTCAGCCTCCATTTCCTAGGGTGCCAAGAGGTTCAGTCACTTGCGTTCTGCTGCAGATAGAGGGAGGAAGTTGTGAGAAGATGTGTTACTCATAACAAAATCCACAGATCCAGATCAGCAGCTTCGTAAAACTCTGAGGTGTTGGTCTGTGCAGCACGCTCTGCTGGTGTCCAATCTGTGCTTACAGTGCAAACCCAGATGGCAGCTCTCATTCCTTAGTCTCAGCTCTGGCAATTGCCAGAGCTTGTACTCACTGAAAAGGTGCGATGGATTCAGATGGGAGGTCAAATGTTGATTCGTTGGTCATCTTGTTGAAGAAGAATTTCCTCTTGAAGTTTTTGCTGTATGCCATAGTCCAGGGATCTAGCAGAAAAGTGTCACAGATTAGACAGAAAATGGAATAGGGAAAAGGGCATGGTTATAAATGCACATATAGTGCAAGCAGGGACAAGGAATCTATAAGGATGGTGATTCTCCTCTTCTTTTCCCTTTCCTCCTTCAAAATCACCTACTTCCCAAACTAT